GGTCGCCGGGGTGCAGCTCGGCCTCCCGCAGCAGGAGGCACCCGTTGTGCGTAACTGGGGCGCCCCGGGATGGGCGCACCATGGCTGGGGGCTCAGGGCCCGCGCGCACTGTGCAGTGACACGGCAGGATGTCAGGGGCGTTGAGGAAGGTGTCCACGTATGGGGCAGGGGACCCGCTGCAGGACGACGGGGTCCTGCCCCGGCCGAACACGTGCTGCTCCCTCGTCATCACGTACACCACGAAGTCCTGGAGGAGAAGTGAAGATGGCGCTGAGGACACCACTGACCAACAGATCCCTCTCCTACGATCGATTCTCCCGACCCCAACTCCTTTGAGTGGACACTTGCGAGGCGATCTCCAGGCTTCCCCGAGGACTCTTCTCGCACCCCACCTCCCATGAATGGACTCTAACATGGCACTTTCTGTGGTAGGTGCTCCCATGATGTGCATCCCAAAGACCCCGTGTACAAGGAACCCTTTCATGACGTGGACCCCACCGTGTTCCTCCCTCAAAGAACAGCTGCTTCCAGGCTCTTTCTCCAGTGGACTCTCCCATGTTCTCAACACTCCTGAAAGGACTCTGCCGCGCCTACAGTGGACTCTCCTTGACTTGCCGCCCACAGAGTGGGGTTTTCCAAGGAAATCTCATCATCCACATCCACCAAGAATGGACCTTTGCAAGAAACCTTTCTGCATTTCTCTGGCTCACTTGTCCTTTATTCCACCCCATCACGGAGGCTTTCAAATACATTTCCCTTTCAGATAAGTTTCTCAACATCTCAGAGCAAGGGATGAAATTCTTCAGAGTCCCCCTTTGAACAGAGGGTTCTTCCATTACCTCCACTCCTGTGAACACAGAAGTCCAAGAAGGCCCTTTCTACAATGGGCTCTCATTTAGTTCCATCTCAAGATGAGCTCTCTTCCCAGAGACATCCTTCTACAGCGGACTCACTCTGCCCCCTACTCTCATGATGGAGGGTTCCAAGGACCTCCTCTCGATCAACAAGAGCTCTCAGTATCATCCCCAAAGTGGACATCTCCACAGAGATCTCCATTTCCTCGGCTCTTCCTAAAAGCCCATTTATGAATAGATGCTTCAAGGAGATCCCCTTCTTACAGAGTCCTGTTTTATCCACCAAATGAAAAGATGCATGCAGAAGACCCCTTCCCGAAAATAGACTCTCACCTCCATCCTATAAAAATGGAAGCATTGTCTCTTCCTACCCAACGTTCCAGTACTCCTCTTGTCACCCAAATATGAAAAATATATAGAAGTATCAGTGCCACCTGCCTCCATCAACAGTGGTTAAGTCGTTCCAATGTAAACCATCATCTTTTACAAACGAATTAGTCCTCATCCCAGCAAGAAAATACTGTACAGGCTTCTCCAGAACAAGATGCCAGACACGGATTGACTGCCCTGTCCTAGTAGATTTACTCTTCTTCTTCTCCCTCAAGAGATGGATGCTTGCAAAAGACTCTTCCACAGTGGACTGACTCTCCCTTGAGGAACACAGTGACTCCCCCCAACTTTGAATGAGATGAGCCATTCCCTGTTTGTCCCTCCGGTGGAATTGTTGCCCCCACCAGGCTGAGCTCAAACGTGCAGTCCTCTTGCCACAGCCTCACAAAGTACTAGGATTACAGGCCTGCACCATCATGCCCAGCTCCTGCAGTGGAATCTTTTGTCAGCCATCTAACCCCGCCTCCTCTACTTTGACCATATTATTTGCTCCTCCGGAACCTTGCTGGATCACACCTACCAGAGTACCTGAGGCCACTGAGAGCAGAGGAATTCTGGGAGTTGTAGAGTTGTAGTTTGTTGCTCTCCAATGGCACAAGGCATAGAGGACTCCAGGTGGGGAAGGCTGTGCTAACCTGAGCGTCCTGGTAGCCCTGGAGCAGCAGGAAGTAGGGATGGTTGCTGGGAGCCTGGATGAGGCACTGAGATAACTGATCGAAATCTCCGGGGTCTCCAGGTCCAATTTGGGCATCGGCTGCCCCGGGGGCCATGCTAAGCGCCTGCTGTCTGCGTTCCTGCTGCCGCCGACGCCGACCCTGCAGGTTAAGCTCCGAAACGCTGCGCCGTAGGGACAAATTTTCTGAGCGCTCCTTGCCCCCGGACCCAGCCGGGGCTCCTGTTCCCGACCCTGGACCGGGACTAGCCAGTGCCGCCCCTCCAGATGCAGCCCGGGAGCGGCTTTTCTGAGGCCGCCAGGAGGGGGCGCCCGTGCCTGCGGAGAGAGATGGAAACAAGCTGAGACTGGAGAGGCAGGTGGAGAGACGCGGCTGAGATCCCGGGGCGACGGAACCGCTACGGAGAGGTGAGGCCGCTTCCCACACTTAGGTTTTGCAGATGCTGTTCCCTGTTCCTGAAAAACACTTCCTGCCTAACTTCTACGCATCTTGCAGTTCTCTCAGAAACTCATTCGTTGTCTTAACAAGCATTTCCTTAACGCCTGCTATGTGCTGAGGGCTGATGTAATCACTAACAAAGACTGTGCTAGGGAGGTGGAAAAACCTACTTAGAACACCCTCCCCTGACAGTCCAAGTCGAACCAAGTAACTGTACCAGGGCCCACACTGGGTTTATTATCTGGACCTGGCACATAGTAGGTTAGTGAATAAACTGCTGTTCCCACTAAGCTTGTGATCCGGGAAAGCTTGAGGTCTGGCAAAGTGGGAATTTCACTTGTCCATGTATTCCAGGACCCTAAAACTGTGTGGTCCAGAGTAGGTGCTCCATGAATGCTTGGGGGAGACGATGATTCTAATTGCCACTTGTCATTAAGCACCCGTATGTGCGCCCTTTATATATACAAAAACATTGACCCTTCACCTAGCACTTTGCTGAGATTAACAGGCAAAGCATGGATTGGAATCCAAGCCTGAGTTCAAATTATTTTAATTGTTACAACACCTTCTCTGCCCAAGGGAGTAGAAACAGAAAAAGCAATTCAAGGACTCCCTGAACAGCCCTGGGCCTCAGTTCACTAAGGCCCTGTCCCTGCCAAGCTCCGTCCTGCGCTTGCTGTTTCACCACAGATGCCACCTCCTCCTTCCAGCCCTGTAGCCCTGTAGCGTCACCTTCCTGGGCCTCTATAGACCTCTTCCTCCAAGAGGTGGGGGAGGGGAGGGGAGGGGAAGTAAAAAGAATTAGGATGTGTTGTGTACATGTACCGACTCCCCATGATGAATGTAATTGTGTACTGCAAACATGTACTAATATAAATAAATATTAAAAAACAAACAAACAAAATACCTCTTCCTCTAGCCCCTCTTCTCCCACACTTGGCAGCCAACCCAGCCTAAGGCTGCTGGATCCCACACCGCCCACTCAGGCCCTCCAGACCCAGAAGGAGGCCATTTCCTCTTCCTCCAGGTACCCCCCCAGGCTCCACCCACGTAGGACACGGCCCCTCTGGAAGAGCCTGAATCTTTTTCAGCGAGGTGCCACCGGCCACAAAGACCACGTTCCAGGTGCTATTACACTTCACCCAGCCCAACATCAGGTCCCACCATGCCCGTTGACTCTGAACGTCACTCAGGGACATCATAGCTGTTTTTTTGTTTGTTTGTTTGTTTGTTTTTGGTTTTTTTGAGGCAGCGTCCTCCCTTTGTAGTTCAGCCTGGCCCTGAACTCACTATGTAGCCTAGGCTGGCCTCGAACCTGCAGCGATCCTCCTGCCTCAGCCTCCCGAGTGCTGGGATCACAGGTGTGTGCCACCACGCCTGGCTGTCCAGCTCCTAATTCTTCCAATTTCCATTTCCAGCAACACACAGGCAGAATCCCTCAAAACTATCAAATCCCTATAAACTCTACGCATCTCATAGATGCGTCCAGCTCCCAGGTACCGAAGACACGATCCTGAGCATCTACTCCTCCTAAACCCACAACACATTCAGCCTCCTTCAAGACAGCCTGAAACACCGGCTAAGGACCTCGTCTCCATCCAGAGCCGCCACAAGCTGGGCCACGCCTCCCATAGCTCCCAACCCCGCGGCTACTATCTCCTCCCTAGGTCCTCGCGCCCCAGCCCCTCCCCT